TTTCCTGGTTCGTTCGAAACACGCCCCATAATCACAGCTCTATGGAGCAGTATCAGACTCATATTCTGACTAGAATTGAGTAGGACTACGTCAGGCTATAGAAGAGGTTAAAAATGACTGAAAATCAATGGAAGTCAAAGGGAGTCAACACATGGTCCTCACTTTAATGGCAGAATGAGTATGTGTGTGTGTGTGCGGGGGAGCAAATGTTGAAGTCTGTTGATTTCCTCATCAGGTTCATCAGCCAGCTGAGACTAGTGAGGGTCCTCAGCTCTGAGGGCGGGATCTACACCTTCTCAGCCAGTCATGGAGATGCATCCGCTGACCAGTTATTTCACGTATATGTTAACAGTAAGTGAGCTCGTATTTATTAGATGCATAATGAGAACATGATGTCGGAAATTGCTGGTGGACTTAGAACCAAATTAGATGTCTCTATGACACAAAAAGAGTGGAGTTTGTCGGAACTGGTCTGTGGACAGTCGCAAATTCTGGAGCGTTTCACTCCCGAGTGTGAAGTAAGTCAAGGCAAATTTATTTGTATAGCACAATTCAGTACAAAGACAATGCAAAGTGCTTTATATGATTAAAATATAGGAAAATAAAACAGAATCAAGACAAGTAAGAAAAATAAATAAATGAAAAATGCAGAAACAAAAAAGAACATTAAAGATGAGTCAGGATGAGTCATACATCTTAGTCTAAGTCTTAGTAGTGCTTTGTTCTCTTACCTCAGCTGATCATTACTCCTGTCCGTACCTAGAACATGGCGTCTCTGTAGCCGATCTGACTTACCGCAGGCTTCTTCTTTGACCATTTTAAAATCACTTGTAATGTCTCATATTTTCTCTCTGCCGTTTAATTCTCATATCAGGATGTTGGTTGATTTTTCTTCTTTTATTCCCTAGATTGTTACTTTTTTATAATAACTTTTGTGCTTCTAATGGTGTTAGTATGTCTATCTTTGTGCATGACTCTGGTCATGTTAGTTTTTTTTTAAAGAGCTATATAAATAAAGTTGGATTAGATTGAGATTATGGTTCTCTACCAGAGATAGATGGATTGGTTATCTGGGTTGGGGATACGCCTCTGCCTCAAGCAGATATGGATCATTACAAAAAAGAGCAAGATCACCATAGAGAAATTTTAGATTTCAGAAGTGGGGGGACGCAAGTAACTTTTAATATAACTAACTTCAGGGTGTTTAACCATCCAATCACAGACCTGATTCAGCGGCGCATCAGATGTTTGTAATGTGAGCTTCTCACAAGTGACAGCGATGACCGCCAATCACACAAGAAAAGACGGTGGGCCAATCAGGAGCTTGTGGGCCGTCTAAACTCAGGGGCTTTAGTTTGAGCTGCTGTTTTCCGCTTGGTCCTAGTGCTCAATAAATGTCAGTGTACTGTAGCGTCACTTTGTTTTTGGACAGTAAAACGGATGTTTGAAAAAGCGCAGGGGAGACATGTACCCCATGCCAAAGAGGCAGCTGGAAATCTCTTCCTCCAAAGGTTTCTGGAGTCGGCTTTAAAGAGGAGTAAAGTTAGGAAAAAAAAAGAATACAAGTCAGAAATCTGAAGATATATTGAGTTAAGGAGCATCAAAGGCAAAGATAAACAGCAATCATGGCATTCAGGAGAGCTGATAGTAATAATGTAAAACCTGAATTCATTCAGAGAAAACCCAAATATGAAGTTAAATTTTCTCCTTTAACCAAACATACAATATCAAAAGAAATTTAGCATTAGTTCTTATAGCATTTTGGGGAAAGAAAAACACAACAAATAAAGATGAATTTCTATATTATCTTGCAGATTTCAAATGGTAAAAACGCATCAGATGTTCATGTATATTTTTAGATCCACTGAGACTTAACTAGCTACATATGTCGTTATCTAAACTACCCAGGGTTTTTTAAAGCATTCATCTAAAAAGTGAAATTGTAGGTTACTGTACTTGTTTTTATGAACCTCTCATATCTATTTGCTGCTTTTTATTTTCTGCTGTAAGGTAAGCCTGTTATCATTGCCCAGGAGGGACCAGTGGATGGTCAGGTCCGCTGCATCGCCGCCGGTTATCCAGTGCCTAAAATTAGCTGGTACCTCTGTGAACTGCCCAGCAAAAGGTATTTCAAAAAGTATATTTATTTTCATATCAGCATCTCATCATATTTGCTCTATCATTAAGCTGATAAGGCATTTATTAAAATGATCTGCCACAAATCTGGGTTATGTTTCGCCCTGTTGGTTCATAGGCTTCTACTTTCTCAGCTCTGTCTTCTGTGGTGCTATAACAGCTGAATTGTTACAGATTCACAAAAGGCTTGTGAAATGTTGACATATACATCATCTACAGCAGAACAGTTAGCCGATTAGCAGAAACTGATCACCTTCAGAGACAATTATCTGCAGTAAAAATTTCATAAAGCTGTTATTATGCTAATTCACTGTGTAAAATAATGAGTTAATAAACTGGTGTTTTTCTGCATTATATGCATTTGAAGATCTTAAGATGTTTAACACAGATGGCGTGAGAAAATGAGAAGAAAACTCTTTTTTGACTTCTTTAACCGCTTATTTAAATTAAGAAAATCTATCAAAAAAAATCAAGGTAACAGTAAAAAATGATTAACAGCTTTTATAAGCCAACAAAACACACAAGCAACCGAAACACAGACATGCCAACACACAAAAATAGATGCCAAAAGAATTGTTTATTTTTAGGAACGTGAAGAGTTATATCAAACCAAGTTATAAATTTTCTTGCAACACTTATACAAACAGCTGCCTGTTTCCTGGTGCTTCTGTACTGTTCAGTGTTGTTTCCATAAATAACTGTAATTGTAACAAAGAAAGAAATTAAGTTTTGAGTTTGTCTTGGTACAACTGCAAGTTTCAGCACACTTTGCTGAGATTTTATGTTATAAACACAAAATAGTGCTTCATTGTAAAGCAAAGGAAAACTTTTTTGTTTTAATGAGTTACAAATCAGAATATTTGGCATCCATTTTTATTCAACTTCATTTTCTGTTTTGGCTCGAAGTGATTTAACCTGAAGTCATGTAGAGGACACAGTGCATACGTGCTATGGTCACATGAGAATGCAACAAATCTTTATGATGAGATGCTGGCGGGTGGCAATGACAGGGAAGGTAAAATAGTGAGAAGATGGATTGAGCGCAATATGTGAAAATCCTTATGGAGGTTGCACAAGTCTGGAGATAATGGAAGAGGTTAGAGCTCGTTAACACACAGCCAGAGACATAAGGGAATCATTTAGATCAAACCATGCTGATGTGTTAGGATGGCCCAGTCAGAGTCAAAGCTTTAACTCAGTTCAGAATTGCTGGAAAAACTTGAAAAATGCTTTTACTAAACCTGAAAAAGCAAATTTTCCTTCAATTAGGTGCAGCTATGATTGAGACAAAAAAGATGTTCTATAAATCATAGACGTGATGGGGATAAATACAAATTTATTTTCCATTCACTTCAATGTTATGCCCAGTTTCTGCATGAAAAAGATGAAAAAAGCTTCGAGGGGTACAAATACTTCAGCACAGAATTTCACAGTTCTAATTTAAAAGCGGTTGGCCTGAGGAATTCATCTTTTTGTGGCTTTTTTAATTGAATAAAAAACATCTAAGAAAAACAAATATGAATATAATCAGTGCAGGAAAATAAAAGGAAAGAAAACCAAAAGACCAAAAGAAAACCAAAGAAAATCTCCCATGTTGAGCCTTTGAGTTTCTACAGAAGCTTTTTATACAGTGATCTTTGAGTTTAGAAAAAAAAGTGTTTACAGGAATCAAAAATGGGTTTAAATGTGGTTAAAATGTGAAATACTTTTCTGTCTCATTAGGTGCTCCCACCTGCCCAACGCCACCCAATGGGAGAGCCCAGAGGTAGCCGTACTTTCAGATTCAGCCTTTGGCCGGAGTGAGGTGGAGAGCCGCGTGAATATCAGCAGCGAGCACGCTCAGTACCACACTCTGGAGTGTGTGGCTTCAACAGAGGGAGAAGAGGCATACACTCTGTTCTCCATCGGTGGTAACATATTCCACACCTCGCATACCACCTGTACCCAGACAGGGCTGATACAGCAGAGAGGGGGGGGACATCATCACTGCATGCACAGAAACCCAGTGACCCTGTTTATGGGGAAGCCAGGTGTGTGGCTACTGGGTACGGATTTAATAAGATTACTGTATGCTGACAATGCAGGCTGGGATTACGTGGCGTAGATTTACTAATCCTTGTGACACAAACACCACTGCTGCAGCTGTCTGCTGTTACCAAAGAGGATGAGACTGTGTGTGTGTGTGTATTTACTTAATAGACGATTAATCCTAACCATCTTTGAACAAAACGACAACTTTGTAGGAAAAGTTTAGAGGATGCTGTAAACCTGCCATTTTGTGCATCCGTGTGATTTCTAATATTGTCTTGTGTGGGTGTTTTAATTTCACAGAACGCATTGTCCCCCATAAACTCTTCACACCTCTCCTAACTGGCATGGTGGCTACCGGCGTCTTCCTCAGCCTCATTCTAGTGGTGCTTTTCTATAAGTACATGCAGGTGAGATCACACTGTATAAAATCAAAGGTTTTACTATTCCTCTTCAGGTTTGAAAGGTAGGGAAATGAGCAAGAACACTATCACACATCAGGGCATGCCAATGTAGTGCAAAAATAAGCCCTAACTGTAAAGTTGACCTTGGGATAATTAAGTAGGATGCGGTTTATTACGATAAAGTGAATGTTGTTGCCAGAGGGAGCAGTGTTTATTAAACTTAGGAATAAGGTGAGAATTAAGTGAACTTTAGGATTAGGATCAGGTGAAAGGTATAGCGGAGAATCTCCTTTTTCCGGGTGGATCATCTAAATAAGTGGTCCTCCTAATCGTCACTCATTCTGGTGATATGCGTACGTAAGGACGTCCTATGTGCTTGCCACCAGTTAACTATCTTTTTCTGCACATGCACACATTCAGGCATATATGTGTTGTGAGCTACGGTTGCAGACAGTCATTGAAGCTCACCTTTCTCACCATGGCTCTTTAAAAATGACCAAGGTTCATGAGACAAAAAGTGTCTACAAAGTACATGAGAAGAAAAGAAAGACCTCAGAAATGAGAATCAAGACCAGAGTGTTTTTGGGAGATTCTTTAACGCAATTTCGTGAACTGAAAGCAAAGGTCAGGCTTCCCTCTGATGCCTCTTTTGCAAAGTTTCCACTCGACAGAAAAAGTTTGCCATGCTATTTGGAGAAATCCATCTCACATCACTGCTAGTAAATTATGGAGAAATGTGCTTCTGCATGCTCTCGCACATGTTTAATAGGTGTTCCCTCTCTGGAGCGGGCACAGGGTGCATGTGCATTTTTTTTTTAAGTGGAGAAGGCAGGTCTTTTAAAAAAACTTGCGGAAATCCTTCACAATACCTTTGAGTAAATGTAGACTACTTGTAACTATTAAAAGGCATTGTGAATGTTTGTCTCTTCTCTGCAGTGGACTAGAATAGACCAATGACCTATCCAAGGGTAACAGATGGGGCCTGTTTTCTAGCCCCATGACCCTAGCACCTTGTAAAATATGCAAACCCTGTAAAATAGGGGGCTGTGTTTTAAAAGCAGTGTATGAACTGCTAGATGTGCCTGAAGAGGCGTGCCAACAGTCGGCACTCGAGGGCCACCGTCCTGCAGATTTTAGAGACTGATCCAGGGCTGATTTCTACGGAAGAGGATTAGGGCCACTGAAAAAAAAAAAAAGTTAACAGATTTTGTTTAATTTTTTTTCAGTATAGTAT